ATCACATGCACATCCTAGTTAAGACGATGAAGTTGGTGCTGAAGATGATGATGAAGATGAAGATGATGCTGACGCCTGCTAACGATGATGATAATAATCAAAACGCTGTGGTGAGGCATTAATAAATAAAATGTTTGTGACTTTGGCGATGATGATGATGATGATATAGGGATGATGATGGTTATGATAATGATGACAATGATGGTGATGACGAGGAAGATGACGAAAATAATCAGTTGATGACAATAAATAAAACTATAAACAATTCGGCAAAAAGATGATCTCTGGCGGATGGTGGTGGTCTCATAATTAAAACGAAATAACTCAAGTAAAAACATCGTTAACGTGAACACACACATACATACGAACACACGCAAACATACGCACATACAAACACACAAACACACTCATACACGTATAAACGTGCGTATGATAAACGAGTAAAAAATTATTTATAAAACTACAGAGCTGTGATAATTTATACGCATGCAACAGTGAGTCTTTGCGCGCGTGTGGGTTCTCTCGCTACCACATAAAGAATATTCACATTAATCCATTGATTGCCTGTTACATGTCTTAGATACATGTCCGTTTCACAAATTTAATTAATTTTAAATTAATATGCAAAGATCTTAATAATAATTGTATGAATATTTATGAAGAGCAGCAGTAAGCATCGCTGCTTCAGAGGCGCCCGAAGCCCAAGCAGATACATATTTTGATGAGATGTGTCTCAAAATTTTTGTTGAACTGAAGACCTCACAGCGGAAAACATAGCAACGTCTTTCGAGTCAAATCCATTTCAAACGGCCATACAAAATCTTTGATACAAATGCAACAGTATTTGTATGAAACTTTTTGCTGTATTAGTAATACTACATTGAAAACATTTACTGCATCTAACTGATTTACAGATAAATTTTCATATTCTGCAAGAATGTTTCTTGCTACAAAATGACACCACACACACACACAAACACACAAGCACACACAAACGTCATAATTCTCATCTCATCATATATCACAAATTATTATTTACCTGTTACAATAAGGCATGGAGACAGATATACTGAGAGGATCATACTTAACATTTGAAACGCACGTGCATCCCGACAATGCTACTCTATACATGCTTATAAGAAACATAAGGAAATACTTACTACTGAATTATATACAAGTAACATTTATATATATATATATATATATAAATATAAATATATATATATATATATATATATGTTTGTATATATATGTGTATATATACATCTGTATGCATGCGTGTATGTATAATTTTTGACGGCTCTTTAACAAGTGAGGTAGCGGTAATGAGACCACATGTGAGTAAATCATAGCATCGCTATAAATTATCAATCATTCATTCTCGCCGGGACGCTGCATGCCGCAGATGAGAAATATCTTTCAAATTGTGTGATGCAAGCTGGATATGATTGCATAGACAAAAATATAATTATGTATGGCGGAATTATGATGTATATCTGCTAAAAATGTAATTACAGTTTTTAAGAAATCATCTTAAATCATGGAGGATCTAGGGTCGTTGTCGAGTATTTAAATATATTCACTTATAATGGGTCTTAATTATCTTATGGCTGAGTGTATGTGATTGTGTGCATGCGTGTGTGTGTGCTTACGTATTTAGATGGTAATAAGTTCAACCAATTGAAATTGAAGAGAGCACGCTTATAATGTGCGTTTGAATTTATGTGGATGAGTGTTTGGAATGGAGGGGGGAGCAGGCAACACGTTTGTGTCTCCTCGTCTGTCTCGCGTCCGCTCCAGCTGCCTCTCCACTCAACAGTGATTTGAGATTTTAAACATTGTTTTGAAGAAAATTTGTGAAACAATTAAAGAGACGCAAAAAGAAAATGTTGATAATTATTTTATGTGACTGCATTAATTTATGACCTGAGAGGAAAGAAAAAATGCTAGGCCATCGCACATGTAAATCACAATATTTTGTGACCTGATCGGGATGTGTGTATACATAACATGGGAAGTCTCGTTACGAAGGCTAATAATTATCATTAACCAGCAACAATATGCGATCTTAAAATTAAGCATCAGCAACTGACACAAACAACATCATAACATGCTTCGTACAAAACAAACAAATAACCGCCGCAAATAACACACGGCATAAAGTGCCACATCAACACAAAAACACACGACACAGACGTGATGATGATGATGACAGCAACCGAACAAACCTTCTTTCTTCATGCCGGCTCTGAAGCACTTCTTCAGCCTGCAGTATCTGCACTGGTTCCTCTTGTCCTTATCAACGTGGCAGGACCTTACGAACCGACACTGGTACACGTGGTTCTTGCGCACGCTGCGTCTGAAGAAACCTTTGCAGCCGTCGCACGACGAGGCGCCGTAGTGTTTGCCTGTGGCTTTGTCGCTACAGATGGCGCAGAGGCCGTTGTTGGGACTGCTGGCCGACATGAAATGTTGTGGCGAGTTGATGCTTTTGACGTTGCTCATGCCGATGTTGCCAAAGTTGCTGTTGATGTTGTTAACGTTATGGCTGTTGCTGCTCATATTGTTGATGTTGCTCATGTTGTTGGCATTGTGGTTGTTGTTGTTCAAGCTGGTAACATGGTTTACGTTGTTAACGTGGTGACTGTTGTGGTTGTTGATTGTGTTGTGATTGGGTATGTTGTTGCTGTTGATGTTGTTGTGATTGTTGATGCCGTTGCTGTTTGTTGTTGTGGAATTTACTGCGTTGTTGTTATGGATGAATGTTTTTGTTGAGACGGGAGTGAGGATGTTGTAAGGGTTGTTTGAGCTGGATGGCAGGTCAAAGTTCAAGTTGTCCACCTCTTCTACAAAATTCAACTCACCTATTTGGCAAATTATATCATTTAAACAATTATTCAACCAATTTTAACATAATTTTCAAGTAATTAACAATGAAAAAAAATTGTAAACGCAAATTTTAAAAATGAAACTGAACATCAAGTGATCGATTCCCAATTCAACAATCGTCATTTGAATGAGAGATTTGTCTTCAATATAAGTCAATTGAATAATTACAAATCTTTTAATGAAAATAAACGGTTACTGTTTTTAAAATTTTGCGCTGGTGTAAATAAATATATGCCAATTGTTGTTAGCTGCAGCTTGGTGGCAGGTTTGTAAAACTTTAAAGCTCCTTCGAGCTAATCCCATGAAAGGAGTTACTCCACTCGGTGGAATGCATAATGAATGAACCAGGATAACATACAACGTGAGATGTAGTGTTAATTTGTTGTTATTGACGTCATGCTAGGTATGTTGTGTTGTTGTTGTTGTTGTTGTTGTTGTTGTTGTATGTGCTATGACGCTGCTACGATGACATGTTGATGCCGTGTTAATGTCATGTTATTGGCAGGCTGTTGAAGTAGCGATGTAATGATATTACGGGATTATGTTTTATTAAGAATTACGGTAAAGTTATGTTGATGTAATGTGATGTGATGTTGGTTGATGTCGAAGTTAATGTGATGTTAACTTGTACATATATAATGTTAAGAGCAGCGTATAATAATGTGCGAATAAACTGTCGCGTGAAATCAGCGTCTTCAGATTGTTAATGTCTTTTGAAGGCTTTTAACGATTCACTGATCATTTAAATGATAATAGCCAACTGACCGACACCTTATTTTATTGTTATGTTTGTTTGCTGACTGAATTGTATATGAGGCAGTTTGAAAAATAAATTTATAAACCATTTGGCAAGAAAGCGATTAGTGAATTTGTCCGAAGATGGCATAACCGGATTTACCAATTTACTAATTTACCATATGACAGCAGCAAAAAAACACCAAAGTTTTGAAGAAAAAAAAATTGTAGAATGTAAAACAATAGAGTGAAGAACATATTCTGTATTCATCCTACTCTTCATCAGGATAATATTCGAATACCTCTTATTCAATTTCAGATGTTTTAACAATCATGATGGCGGAAATAAATTTATGGCTAATAAAACAACATTAACAATTCTGGAAGAAACAAAATGTGTACTAAAACGAAAGCGTTTAATCATCACGTTAAAACTCAATTATTCGCGTTATGAAATGTGTCAATTAAATAAATTTATATTTTCACGCAATTAACTCAAACATCTAAAACCATCTCTAGTATTCGTTAATACGTACATATCTACAATTATTCATACATAACTGGTGTTTCACTCACATACGCACATGTGTATACAATACTCACGTACACACACATACAATTACGCACATACAGTACGCATAATGTGTATTTATTTATACGGCAACTACTAAGCATAGTTGATCGTCGTTACGTAACAAGTGTTTATGTTAATGGACAGTGTTGTTTCGTCAATGTGCTGTTGTTGGTGCTGTTGTTCTGTTGTTGTTGTTGATGATGCTGCTAATGATGATGCTGATGGTGTTTTGTTGTGGTTGAGGATGATGACGATGGTGATGACGACGATGATGACGACGATGATGATGATGATGAATGATGACGATGATGATGAATGATGACGATGATGATGAATGATGACGATGATGATGAATGATGATGATGATGATGAATGATGATGATGATGATGAATGATGATGATGATGAATGATGATGATGATGATGAATGATGATGATGATGAATGATGATGATGATGATGAATGATGATGATGATGAATGATGATGATGATGATGAATGATGATGATGATGAATGATGATGATGATGATGAATGATGATGATGATGAATGATGATGATGATGAGGGTGGTAGTGGTGGTGGTGGTGGTGGTGACGATGATGACGACGACGACGATCAATATTGTGGCAGTGACGTAATTATGTTAAAAACCAAAAAAAAAATAAATATTTCAAAGTATAAATGGTAAATTCTACGATGACAATCAATTGATTTCAATTGAAATCTCCATAATTAACTGCATTAAGGTGATTAATTAACGTGCACTTCTTCTTGGCATACATTTATTTATTTATTGAAAATTAATAACAACTTAAGTTAATAATTATTATAATAACAACACAATAACAACAACAATAATAATAATAATAATAATAATAATAATAATATTAAAAATAATAGGGTTCCTAATAATGGAACCTTACTAGGGCGAGTAGGTAATGCTAAATTTAATACTCGCTGCTGTCCGTCAGTCAATCATTTGATCGGAGGAGAGAAGGAATTAATGCATCAGAAATTATGCAGCCATCTTCTTGTTTGCCTGTTTAAAGTCCACCTCTGAATTATTATTTTAAAGGCGACTAAATGAGCTTGTGCTACTATGTGTTTGCGTGTGTGTGCGTGTGTGTTATTGTCGTTTATATGTTTGTGCGTGTGTGTCTGCTGTGTAAGTGTTTGCAATGTGTTTTTGCAATATGTGTATGTTTGCATTGTGTGTGTATATGTGTGAATGTGTGTGTGAATGTGTGTGAATGTGTGTGTGAATGTGTGCGTGTGTTGTGGAGGTGTGTGAATGTGTGTGTGAATGTGTGTGTGTGTTGTGGAAGTGTGTGAATGTGTGTGTGAATGTGTGTGTGTGTTGTGGAGGTGTGTGAATGTGTGTGTGAATGAGTGTGTGTGTTGTGGAGGTGTGCTTGCCATGCGTGTTTGCGGTGCAGGGTGCCTAATGTCCCCCAATTTTTATTCGAAAAAATTAGTTTTCCATTGATTTATTTATAATAGCGTATATTTATTAAATGCCATGTAGTGTTTTGATAAGTACACTTCAATTGTTTCTGACTCATCTTAATGTTGCAGACGATGTTCTTTTAATTTCATTGGTTTATTATCGTTTAATGTTGACTCCTTATATTTTCTAACCTGGCTGATTGCTTGCTTCAACTTGCTTACACATAATGCGTGGGTTATGGTTTGAATTCTATCAACTCCAAAGAATTGATTTAATGCAAATTAATAAGTGAATGCTATATAACGCAATCTTCAACGAATTTAGATTAGCACACGAGCAAAATATATGAACAATTATAAAATTATTAATATGTTGAGTATTTAAATGAGAACTTTTTTTAAATTTATTTGATGACAGCTGCGTTATTCTTTTGTGACATTTCGCAAATATGAACTTATTAAAATTTTATTAAGCTGTTTAATATGAAAATTTGTTTAATACTTTTTAACCTAATAAAAAATAAATTATAACATTGTGCTTCGTTCAGTAAAGTTTGATGGGTAACAGAAAACTCGCTAGTGGGACATGTTGCCAGTTTGATCGCTTCAACTCAGCATCATCTCTGAACAGCATGTCTGCTGCTATGATGAAGATTTGTGTTTTTATAATCACGAATACGAACATACTTAGGTACATGCATACACACATACCTACGTACACATACATTATCATCACCACTATCATCATCATCATCACCACATGCCCGCAAGTATTGTGGCATTAAATTCACCGCAAGTAACGACAAACACATGTGAACAATACTAACCAACTGCTCACCACATATGAAGTTCAAAGCTTATGCATACACGCACCACACATACACACGCCACACACGCCACACACCACGCAATCTCATTAGAAAGCAGTAGTTGGTACGTTTGAGATGAAAGCCCATCAGAGGCCACATTCATTCAATCAATCAACCAATTAATCAATCGATCAACTAATCAATCAATCAACAATCAATCTTAAAGCAGCCGCTATATCAACCAGGCAATCAATCAATTTTAACAAACCCGCCAGTAATTTGTATGGTATATTTTCAATCAAGACATCAAGGAAGAAAACAATAATGAGTGATAGAATAAAAAAAATAAATAAAAAAAATGTATGAACAGTAAATTAAGCAAACGCAATGACGAACGAAAACAAACTTTTAAAACATTGATTGAATGAATGAACGAAACTATAAACAAATAAATGAATAAATGAATGAGTGAGTGAAAAAACGAAGGCATGAAGAAATGAATGATAATGAAGGAGTGTATGAATAGTTCATACGTTACAGAAGTCGGAGACATCAAATAAACCAGCTGACTAGGACAACAAGTTGATGTTATGTTAACTGATGTGAATATGTCAAACAGAATGTGTGCGTGTGTGCGTGCGCGTGTGTGTGCGTGTGCTTATTATATTATTAAATAATTAATTAATACGGTGTTGAATATTGTATCGGTATTTGTTCATACATTTTTAAATCCCTTAAATTTTTATTTCAATTGATATCAGGATTGCTACTTGTTACCTAAACAATAATCCTCACAGTGCAAACGTGTTAACATCTAGAAAAAAAAATGCTTACAACAACGTATTCGCCAGTTTGAAGTTTATTTTCAAGTGAATTCTACTATAAGTATATATGCCATAAATATATAGTATAAATATAAATAAAAAATAAATATAATTAATGTAATATACATATATGGGATAACCAACGTCAAAATGTTCTCCAACTGACATTTTTCCTCATCCAAACACCGCC